CAAGCCTCAAAAAGAAAATGGCTAGCGCATTGACTACCGGTGCGAAGATGCGTTTTTTACATAGTTCCCCGTAGTTTTTTGCCGCTAACGGCATTGGTTTTTCCGGCAAATGCTTGCAGCTAAAAGAATTGAGACTGGCCGCCAGGACTGTCAGGAAACGTCCCTTTAAAATTTTAGCTTTCTAGTTTTTCAATTTCCCAAGTTGGCAACTTACCCGCAAGAAAATTCATGGGCCCGTGAATAGAAACCGTGCATATCCGGGGAAAATTCAATAATACTTACCTGGATGGGGGACATCACCTCAAAATTCCAGTCTTCTAGCTTTTCAGATCCCCGAGTTAGCAAATTACCCGCAAAAAACCTTCACCCGCCCGTACGTGGGTACCACGCATGCCTGAGGGCTGGGTTTGAACTCATTAACACATATGTGGACGAAGAACGTCGCCTTAAAATTTCAGCTTTCCAGCTTCTCTGGTTCCCGAGTTAGCAGCTTGCCCATGAAAAACTTTGGTAGCTCCGCACGAAGGTACCACGGAATTAAGAGCATCCATTTTGGGGAAGGGGCCCATACATGCATGTAGATTAATTTCCCAAAGTTTCAGCCCTGTAGCTTTTGCAGATCCTGAGATGAAAAATCGGTACAAATACACAACCCCTCGTCAATATTCGTTTTTTATGCATTTTTTGCAGCGATGCTATGCGGAAAACGCATATTGACGAGGGGTTGTCTGTGTGTGTGTGTGTGTGTGTGTATGTGTATGTGTGTGCGTCTGTAACGAGTTTTCATCACGAGCTACAAGGGTGAAAATTTGGTGACTTAATCTACATACACGTGTGGGCTAGTACCTTCAAAATGGACGCTCAGGTCCGCGTGTTTCTCACGTAGGGGTACATGAAAGTTTTTTTGACAGGAAAGGCCGACGCTAGGAGGCTGGAACTTCACAGAGGTGTTCCTTGGCCGCGTCTAATCCAAAGATTTTAAATTCAGCCTTCGCGCACCCTCCAGGCCTCACGTACGCATACGTCAGAGTTTAAGCTGGCATCATGCCAACTCCAGATTTAAGCTGACCGATAAGCTGCAGAGAGCTGCAATTTT